TCTGATCATTATTCATTTTAAAACATGTTACCGAGGCTTCAGATGATTTTTATGAAACGTTCCCGTGACGTTACGTGTTAACCACGGTGGAACGTTCTGGCTTGAATGTGGACGTTATTGAGGGAACACATTGTAGAACGTTCCTCTATAAAACAGTTTCACAATAACGAAGGTAAAACGTTCTCAAACACACGTTCAAAAAACGTTTTCCAGATGTTATCGAGGCCTCCGATGGCAGAAAGTTCTTTGTTAGACGTTCTCGTACAGCGAAATATTAACAAAGGCGGAACATTCTCCGTGCGATGCTCTATACGTAACGTTACCACAATGTTCCATGGTAACATAGGAAGAACGTTCTCAGCTTTGAGAACTTCAGAGCATAATGGTCCAACAATGTCATCACCAAACACCTTCAGAGCATCTTTCGCAATCTTTACCTTTAAGAAGAACGTTTCTGGAACATTAATAGAACTTTCAACTGAAAACATTTTGAAACTTTGCAGAACCTTCTCAGGAAGTCTTTCAGAATCACTTCTTGAAACCTATTTTTAGAGACTTGATTTTCTGTCTTTTTGTTGCGTGTTCATTCTTTATTGTTTGACGGTTTTATTTATTTGTGTGTTATTATTATTTCTGTCTTCCAGCTTCTTGATTTGTCTCTTTGTTTGACTCGACTGTCTGCTGTTCTCTTATTTTGTCTTCTGGGTTCCCTGCGTTTGCTCGAACTGTCAAAAGTGTTCCACAAAGTTTTCTATTCCACACTTCTGAGCCCGTCGCGTGTCTGTCACGTCAGAAACTGATTAACTGAAGCAGGCGGCAATTTTCCAGTCTTCAGACGTCCGGTGGTGACGAGCCGGCGCCCACCGAAGCTTCAGCCGTCTGTTCTGGGCTGACAGGAGTGGAACCTGACGTAGTGTTCTGAGTGAGCTGCAGAACGCACGGATACGTTTGTGTAAACTTCAGAAGAACAGTTTGCTCTCCACAAAACACATTTCTGCTGTGATGTTCTAAAGGAGGAACTCATGGCTGTATAACACGTCCCAGCTAGAATCTGTTCTAGTTCTAGTGATGTTTTCGGCGAGAAATTGAGTTT